TGAAGTACTCGTCCCCTGGTTAAGTCATTTATATAGTTCTATAATTGCAGACCATTCTAATTCTATTCAACTATTTATTAAGTTATATAATAGTTTTCAGAATATAAAAATATTATTATCTTAAAGTTTAATATTTTATTAACAAATATTCACATTATTGAGATGGTATATTGACGGTATTGACATTCATCCAATGGACCAATTACAATTACCTTACCTTGAAGTCAGCGGCTGAACGTTTTTTAGTAAATGTATTAAGTAGTTGAGTAGCATTAACTTATTTAGCATCAGCATATTAGTTTAAAATGATCAGATACAAATTGGATGAATGATAAATTAGATTAGTATGTCATGTCAATGTCATTTTTCATCAGATCAGATAATCATCGAATCATATCATATAATTTAATTAATTATTAAGTTGACTTTACAACCTTAACAGTTAAAAAAGAAAAACCATGAATCAATGTAATATATAATTAATATATATGTTTTGCAAGGTAAAAGACTGATTCATTAAGTTATAAGTAGTTTAATTTTAAATGTTTGATATCAATCTATGATTTTAAAAAACAATCTCCAACATATCGGGCCCGTAAACAAAATCATTCTAAACAAGTTAATGAAATTATGTGTCCAAAATACAATTTTGGATAAATAAGAGAATCAACATAAATTACATAACAATGCATCAAAAATTGTTAAACATGACATTACAGGACAACATTGACTGATGGAGAAGCTCATTTTTAGATGGTTTCCAGATCACTTTATCTCGGCATTGCTTTTGTTCACCCCCGAACTCGCATGCCGATACCTTGCTTCAACGCACGTGCCATTGCAAGGTGCTCAGTTTCACTTACCTGAGCACCTTTCCCTGCCCAATCTACCAGCAAATCCAAATGTTTGCTGTTGCTGATCCAGCAAATACACTTGCTAGAATGAATTTTGCATTTGGCCTGCAGAGTTTGCAAGCCAGATTTTCCATCTGTCATCATTTTCACTTCTCCTAAATTTTTTTCCGAACCAAAAACGCCAATCTTGACAACTTTCGCTACCATGTTTCCACGGCTAAACCTCAATGCCTCAATCCTAGTTCCATCAGCAAAAGCCTCTAGGATCGATTTGTCACAGCCACCCGAACCAGCAGCAACCACAGAGACACGTGCACCACCAGTGTGCGTTGAAGTACTGCTGGAAGAAGGACATTGCGGGTCAGCCGTCGAAGGTTGTGATGTAGATGCCTGCAACATGGGCAATGGCAGTGACAGGGAAATAGATACCATCAAAAAATATCAAACAATAATAATAATACTCATTAATATGATATTATATTTATTTTTATTATATAATATATAAGATAAATTTAAATTATATAATTATATATATATTCATATATGATGTATGATATTATTATAACTATAACTTAACTAATATTTGTATAAACTATAAATTATTTAGCATTATATAAATAATATAGTTTATTATATTAGTATTAATTATTATTTATATTATATATTTAAAAATATAATAATATATAATCTATATAATATGATTATATTATGTTTACTTTATTATTGTTTATTATTTATTATTATTTATCATTGTCATTGTGATCATTATCAAACATTATTTTATTATCATGATTATGAATTAAAAGATATGATCGTTCCAAACCTTTGCAAGCTGTGCTCGTGTTGAACACCTGCATACTTGGACTCTTGATTCAGCGACAACAACACATTCTTAAGCTAGACCTCTTGGTGAAACTGATTACTTTTGTTTCTAGATGGGAATACAGTCCAAAACAATGGCATAATCGGATGCTGCACGTGCTAAAGAGACCCAACATAGTATCATAATTGTCACATAGTCTCATAAAAATTAATCATAGAATCATAAATCACTGATGATTGGATGATATCATGATGACAGTTTGGCTTTGTCCAGCTTACTCATTGTCGGGATACGTGGAAGTTGCAGCTACATGTTGAACCATAGAATCGTGTGTCACATGAGTCGAGTCATCATTTATAATTTATATTTTTGTTATATTATAAATATAATTTATATATATAATGATATAATAATAATTATATCGTACATATATTATATATTATATTCTTATTCATATCATATGTTATAATATTACATTATTATTATTATATCTATATCACTATATCAAATCATATCTATGTGTCTATATCTCATAGATCATATAAATCATAATATCATATATCATCATATATTTAAATTAATTATATATATATATATTATATTATATATTATATATTATATATTATATATTATATATTAAATTATATTGTATTATAGTATATATTTATAATTTATATTATATATAATATTAATATATAAATATATATTATATTATATTATATATATTATATTATATATTTTTTATATTATTATATTATTATATTATATAAAAAAATCATTATATATATTATTATTTTATTATATAATATAATAATATAATAATATATAATATAATATTATAATTATAATAATATATATATATATATATCATATCATCTATCAGATTCATATCATATCATATCATATCACAAATCAAATTATAATTTATAATTATTACTACTAATTACAATATCAATGTCGTCAATATATTATCAAAAAATAATATCATTAAATAATGCCATATATAAACACGTATCATCACATATCATATCATATCATATCACATCAGTCTAAGTCTAATCAGATCATCATCTCATAGTCACCAGTCATTGAGTCATTGAATCATACGGCGGTAGCCACATATCATACGACTGAAAATTCAAAAACATCCGTCAAATTATCATCATCAGGTCGTGCACATTTAACACCTGCTGTGGCCTGTGGAACTGACGGGGTGGTACTGGATGATGAGGATGATGATCTAGCAGCAGCAGCACCCTCTTCAGGTGCATCATCAGTAGCCACCACGTCCGCATCCGACTCACTACCACTATCCGAAAAACTTGTGCCAGCCGTGTCTGCACGTGCTCTCCAACACGCCACATCAGACGACTTGTCTGCATCCTTGCACACATTAACTGCCTGCCTGAGATTAACAATGTCACTGAGTTCCATGAATGCTACCAGTGAAGGATCATCCAGTAAAGAGCCTTCCGGCGGTGGTGACTGCATGTCATCTTGAAACTCCAAAACATCGCTATCATCTACCTGATTGGAACCCGTTTGTTTTGCCTTCTTGCGAGGCCGAGCACTTGCAGTAGGTTTCTCGCTAGAACAAGTTGGTTTTTCATCATGGCACGAAAGAAGAACAGTGAAATCGATGTCCCCAGTGTCAACAGATTGATCCCCCAATACGGGCATTGCTTCTTCTACCCCTTCTGCATTATTCTCAACTTCAACCACTGACAGAGCTTCTTCAGTCGAAAATGTTGAATCTTCCACACCAGTGATACGCAAACGTTTGGGGTAAAGATCCTCCTCAAAAGTCAAAAGTTGAATGACCACATTGACTGCGTGAATATCACTGTCCAGCGATTCGCTCAAACCCAGCAAATGTGCAGCATACATGTCAGCCGTGTACATACGAAGTCTTCCAACTTGGTCTGGCATTTCTGGAAAATATTTTGTTGATGATGGCACAACATGGGCTTCTGTTGACAACTCCAGCAAAAGGCCTATGAAAGGACTTGTTTCAGAGCGTTCTGTCCTTCCTACGATGTCACAGGCCACAAAAACTTGATCTGCTCTATGGCTTCCTGCTTGGGCTGAAACTGCCGTCATAAACGCAATTTGGACGCGCGTGTTTCCCGCAGAATCTTCGACGACGCATCCACCTTGGTTAGTCGGGACACGCTACGAGGACAGAAACCATAAAAGCCTGAATGAATGAAACAATTATTGAACGACCTGCCCCCCCTTAGTACTAGATTCAGATATGATTGATATTGATATTATATATAATCAATAAACTATTGATATTATAATACTGATATTATTTAGTATTGCTAATGATATTGCCATTATTAAGCTTGAGGTACCCAAAGGTCAGATTCATAAACCATGGCCAAGACTCTCATAATATAACTATTATATTATAATTATATTGTCATAGTGTTAGTTATTTTATATTGTTATTGATTAATTTTCATTATACCACCAGCCGCATAATCACCTCATACTATGAACTAAACCAAATCATATCATTCCTGTTCACTATTATTTTAGAAAATATATCATATCATGATTAAATTATTATTACTAGACTATAATTTAATTTTAAATATCATGCGTTGCTACAATAATGAAAATATAATATAATGTAAATTATTATATACAAAATACAGAGATTGAGATAATATATTTATATATTAAAAAATATATTGTTTAGATCGGGCCCATGTCCTATCATCAGGAATATGAATCATATCATGCCAATATACAAAAACAATTATATGTATAATAAAATAAAAAAATATTAATATAATTAATATAATAATATAATATATCAATGAGTCCAGGTCAATATCATAATATCATCAATCATGAATCATCATGAATCATGACATAACCATAAATAATTAATTATATATAATAGTAGTAATAATTTAATGAATAGCAAGTAATAATATCATCATTATATTATTTTATTATTAATCAATAATAATTGTTATTTTCATTACTACCTATATATTATATAATTATATAAATTTATAAATTATTATTTAGAATTATTATCATGATCATATCATCGAATCATATCATATCATTGCATATCAATATATAATATTATTAATATATAATTTATAATATTTAATTATAATTTATAATATATTATATTATTATTAATATTATTATATTAAATTATATTATATTATTAATAATAGGCCTATGTAGCCTATGTCACCTAAGCCTAGCCTATGTATGTCTATGTCACTATGTCATGTCTTTAATTTATATATGTCACTGCTATGCTGCTATGCTCATATGGTCCATGGCCCCATAGCCTAGCCAAAGTTGAAGCAAGTCTTCCCAATATGTGATAAAAACTGAAATAACGAAATAAATGGTCGATCGGCAAGGTCCAAGTCACATAGCACATCGGCAAGCACAACATGCTTGACACCCCCTTTGTGGGAAACAATCTCACCAAATTGTCGCAGCAATTGAGAATGTAGCGCAACTCGGCGTCGATCAGCAAAGTGACGACACTGTTCTCCGCAGCAGCTTTCATGGGTCACTTTGGATGGGAAAGTGTCATCATCAGAAGGCCGAGCAATACGTTCACTTTCAACTCTGAAAGCCTTGATAGATTCTTTCCCTGAAATCCCCTTAGACTTTTGACTCTGCCACGCGCGCTCCAATGCTTCTTCACCAAGAGGAAACCGTGACTTTGGGATTGCGCTTGAAGTTTCAAGTTCATCCCTCAATGCTTTCTGCAACGCATCCGGCGATGAAACAAGTTCACAAACCTGTGACAGTGGTAGTGCTTGTGCATGGATTGCTGGAAAATCCATGTTTGCAACCACTGGCAAATCAGAACCTGAAGCAGACTTGTTGTCAGTGGAACCTTTTGCCTGATCTCGTCTTGCCCGCATAGCAAGAGCATCTACTGCTGATTGCTCCGAAAGTGCTCTGTACAAATCCTGCTCCTCTTTGCTCAGCTCGGCCCACCTCTGTTTGACATCAGCCCAACATTCTTTGCTGCATGGGTTCAATGTACCAGCAGAAGAGTAGGTCTTGATGTAGTGCTTTCTAAACAGTTCCAAAGGTGACATGCCCTTCGGGGTTGCTTTCTTCCCAGTACAATCTTTCACCATGATGCTACCAATACACTCATGCTTGGCACCCCCATTCAACAACGCATCATCCTTTGAAACAGTCTTCTTGTGGCTGGCACTTTGGATGTCAAACGCCTCTTTTGCAAACCTGTTCGATTCTGAATTGATGTAGCAAGAAGAAATTGAATGGAACGCTGAGCCAGCTAACGCTCGGTTTTGGGAATGGAGCGCTTCAATATCAGCACAGGAAAGCTGGATAGTGGAGGCTGTCCAAAACATTGTTTCTCTCCAACCAGTTGACATAAGTTCCTTGGAAGTAATGCCGTCTTTCTTCAGGTCCCGAGCAAAGCCTGACGGCACACAGCATATGTGCTTTCGATCCCAGGCTTGCAACACTTCATCACACATTCCAGGGTACGCATCAGGATCTCCAACTAGAGTGATGCTGAACATGTCTCGATGCAAGTAAGCAAAATGCCTTCTGTATATCCATGCTGCACAAAGCATGAATGTTCTGCGAATATCCCGCACGCGATCAGGTTGACATGCGCAAAAATCTGCATATGAAGTATACCCAGAGCCAGTCCACAAAAATAAAAGTCTGCCACCGCCACAAACATTGAACAGTAAGGAAGCATAGTATTGCAAAGCCTGTGTCAAGATGCTGCTTCGGGGGTCCAATACCTTGTAAAGTGGCGGGCGTGAACCCAAACGCATGCTGTTGTTCAAGCAGGACATCCAATAATGAGTCAGGATTTTAGAACCTTCAATGGTGATCGACAGCATCTTGACTGCCCACTGAGACTGTAGGCACCCCAAAAAGTTCAACGACGCTCGGAATCGCTTCCCATTCACCTCATCAGCAAGATGTGATCATCAGTATTCAAACCAATTAGTGATACGTTTTGACTCTGATGTAAACTTAAACCATAAATCCTAGCTGAAGTGATACGTACTGTAACTGATTTACTGTTCTGGTATGCACTAAGACATGATATGATATGATATGATATGATATGTGATGTGATATGATATGCTATGATATGATATGATATGTGATGTGATATGATATGATGTGATATGATATGATATGATGTGATATGATATGATGTGATATGATATTGATATGATATTATTTCATTTAAAAGATGATATTCATATACATATAGATATGATTCGATGATATATATTATATTATATTATATTATATTATATTATATCATGCTCTGAATGACATATGAACCCATATGAATCAATGTTATATGAACAAGTTATAAGTTATAAATAAGTTATTACAAGAGGTTTAAGATAATTTAATTATTATGAATTATGAGTCAATATGAGTTATATAATTATAGACATAGACTATGAGACTATGAGTCTATGAGCGTTGATATATTATATAGTGGAAATGAATATAATATGATATGAATTGATATGAATTGAATGAACATGATGATATTAAATGAATTGATATGATATGATTTATGATATGATTTGATTTGATGATATGATTAATATGGATAATGATATGACGATGATATGACTCGATAATAAATAATATGATTCTGATTGTATTGATTATGGTATGATATGATTGGTATTATGATGATCAATGATATGACTTGAAACCATTTGATATGATATGTTCGATTGATATTATATCTATTTTTACTATTTTTATTGGATAAAATGATCAATATCATCACACAAGTTGTAAGTTCAGTATCAGTATCAGTGAGTATAGTATCAGTGTATTAGTGTATAAGATATGATTCTGATATGATTCTGATGAAATGATTTGATTGATTGATTGATATGATGAAAAAACTATATATGATCTACTAGAACTGTTTGATTTCATATTTTAAAATGAATCAACGAATACTGAATAGCCAGCCTAGTAGTCGCCTATCCCATCAGTAAGACAGTAAGCCTATTAGTTCCCCTGAACAGAGACAAGTATGCAGTATGCAGCAGTATGAACTAATGACTAAGACATGACTTGGGATTTGTATCTCCATCATGTGAGCCTTCCTCGAAAAAAACCCTTGCTTCAAGTCCAACGAACAGTGGTTGGAAAAAAATGCAACTTTTCATTTGTAGTCACGAGGACGCCTGCAACAAAAAAACCTGGGACCCGTAGCAAAATCTGATTCGTCGTTTAGCTTGCTTCATTCCGGAAACACAACATCCTAGCATCAAACATCATGTGATGAGAGCTGTGAGGTCTCAACCCGCAGCAGTTTAGGACAAGTCACCGCATGAAAACATACGGTTTCCACTAAACGTGGATCAGTTGTCTCTGCAGCTTTGTCAAATTCGGCAAACGGTAAATCTTGAAATGCCCTATGGAACACCTCTGGCAGCCAGGTGTGAACAAGTATACCGCTCAATGTAAAGCTGAGAGGGCCGAATAGTGTCGTCCACTTATTCGGCGACGGAATCGAGGGCATGGCGCTGAGACACAAATTCACCAGTGCTTCAGCACACTTTGTGACTGCCTGACGCCTGTCCAAGCAGTGCCGGTGATCCGGTTGTAAAACCGAATGGCTGCATACGTGGCATGGGTTGCCCGACAAATCCGAACTGTTGAACATTTCAAGAAAGCAAGCCGCTTTCCTCTCGAACAACTTGGATGATGTATCAGGATCTGAATCATCATCGTCGCTATGAATCTTACGCCCTTGACGTAAGTAGTCCACAAGCTGAACCAAGCAGGGATGCGGAGACACATGATCAGCCAAGGGTGTTCCCACAATGCGCTGTTCGAACACTAGCCTTTCATCCAACCAGTCAAAGACAGCCTGTCTCATTCTCATGAAGTAGCCCAAATTCCTGATGAAAGTAGTCATTCCGTAAAGTCTGTTCAACAAATTGGAACCCACATGGGCGAGCATGCTGACATTTATAAGTTGGGACTGGTGATTCTGGCAAAGCACATGGATAAGCTGAAACTTGAAGTTCTGGTCCATGCGTTTGTTCCTCGAAAGAAGGTGTGCAACAAGTCTCAGGTTTGCTGAAGCCGCATCTGACTCCAGAATCTGAATTCGCCGTTGACAATGACGGCTCAAAAGTTCAAGAAGCCGCATAATGGAAACATAGGTCGGATGATGAAAAATCCCATAGAAGATGTCATGAGCGGCGCTCCCCAGTAATACAATTGGTGGTAAAACCAAGCGATAAATCAATGCCATGCCATTCTCAAGAATCAATACGAACCGCTGACGGCAAACCATTACCTCCCACGCGGATCTGACTCTCTTCCCAGACTTGTCTGCATCAACCGAGCAGACCAACTGTGTCTCATCCCACTTGACTTGGTGGATCAGGATCTTTGGCTGGGTGGCAGAAGCAAAATGAATCAGCTTGGTCAACAGCACCAGCTGTTGACCCATGTACACACATCCCACCATGTTTCGCATGAAATTCACCATGGAGCGTGACACATCCAGAGACAGTGCTACATGGGAACTGTGAATCAATTTTCCGTAGGCCGCTCGAAAAAAGGTTGACCAAGGTACTATTCTGCTGTAGCGGTTTCCTCTCTTTCCCCTGCTTTCCAATTTCAAACAAATGCCTGATGCAGAAGGTTTTGCGTGAATGTCAACAATCTGGCCATCATCTCTCACAAAGTGCGAATTGTGCAAAAGATCCCTGACGTTTTGCTGAAAAGAATGCGTTCGTCTCAAAAACTTGACATGCCGCATATGATACGTGAGTAGGCCCTGTTGAGACCCATTGCCATGACGCCCTGAACCAACTTTGCCAACCATGCTTGGAAAAAAAATATCCTGAGCTACACCAGGTGTGCTTGTCTGCTCCACCACTGCAGGCTGTGATGGATTTGCCACTATGCCCTCCCCAGGAACAACTGCCACTGCAGAACTCTGCTCTGAATCTACGCTTTCTGCCAGCAAGGACATAAAATCTATGCCGTCCCCACGAACAACTGCCACAGCAGAACTCTGCTCTGGATCTACGCTTTCTGCCAGCAAGGACATAAAATCTATGCCCTCCCCAGGAACAACTGCCACAGCAGAACTCTGCTCTGGATCTACGCCGTCTGCCAGCAAGGACATAAAATCGAATTCGTTTTCATCTCCATCCATGGCACCAAGATGAATTAGTTCGCGTGCAAAACTCGTTATCAACCAACCATATTTGACTTTGACAATGCAATTCTTCTTGGTTTCCGAGTCCATAGTCCATAGTGGTACATGACCAGGGTCAGGGTGGTACTAAATTTGTTTGAAACTATGTTTGATTTCTGGATCATATCATCGAGTGATGGACGAAGAAAACCACTTAACTATCCAGAATAATGTTGATAAATTATCCGGGTATTTACAAAAATATCATCATAATATCATATCAGCCGTATTATGTACGCCACTGCCGTAAACAAAAAACATTCATATCCTTTCATGTTTCACAACACTTTTCTCTCCACATGACTAACATGCAGCTCGAACAGGATGCGCCGAGAATCGGCGTGATAGGTTTTGCAAAACTCTGGCATCAAACGTGGCACAATGGACACATGCAAGTCCCAGTTCCAAGTTCAAACACCATGCATTCCGTATCATATCATCATCATCATCATCATCATCAATCATCAATCATCATCATCATCATCATCATTCATCATCATCATCATCATCATCATCATCATCAATCATCATCATCATCATCATCATCATCATCTATCATCTATCATCACCGACCTGCAAAGAACTTGCAGGAAGAAACGACCTTTAGATAGATAACATGAGTGGCCAGGGGAGAAAAAAGTAATAACAACACAGCCAAATAAGCGTAACAACATAAATTATAGAAAAACACCGTTACAATATAGGAAAAAAGAACTGTGTAATACAGGAAAAAAACACGTTAAAATATGGAAAAAATCGCTGAAATACATAAGAGAAAAACGCGTTGAGAGGTAAAAAATACAACATTAAAATATAAAAAGACACGTTAACATATAGAAGTAAAACACATTAAAGATATCGTTAAAATATAAAAATAGTGTTAAAATATAAAAAAATAGTGTTAAAATATAAAAAAAATAACGTTAAAATATAAAAATAACGTTAAAAAATAAAAAAATAACGTTAAAATATAAAAAAATAGTGTTAAAATATAAAAAATATAGTGTTAAAATATAAAAAAAATAGTGTTAAAATATAAAAAAATAGTGTTAAAATATAAAAAAATAGTGTTAAAATATAAAAAAAAATAGTGTTAAAATATAAAAAAAACGTTAAAATATAAAAAAAAATAGTGTTAAAATATTAAAAAAATAACGTTAAAATATAAAAAAATAGTGTTAAAATATAAAAAAAAAACGTTAAAATATAAAAAAAATAGTGTTAAAATATAAAAAATAACGTTAAAATATAAAAAAAAGTGTTAAAATATAAAAAAATAACGTTAAAATATAAAAAAAATAGTGTTAAAATATAAAAAATGACGTTAAAATATTAAAAAAATAACGTTAAAATATAAAAAACAAAGTGTTAAAATATAAAAAATAGCGTTAAAATATAAAGGCAAAACCATCGGAAGCAAAACCTAAAGAACCATGCCAAAAACGTGATAGAGCAACATGCTAATATATATTGTTTGATATGTTAGAGCTATGGAAAATTGTTTGGTTCCATTGGCACTCCAATTTTGGCCCATACCCAAAATCGCCAAAACAAGATTTTGGAAGATGTGTTTCTGTTGCGTTATTGGAATTCTAAGTGCAGTGAGTTCAAAATATGTGTCTATTTAATGATATCCTTCTCTACAAGTGAGCCAGACTCATTTGTTTCTCAAATGATCGGAATGATCGGCCGCAGATCCCCAGATGGTTCAAGGTTGAGGTGCTAAAGGAATCTGAAGGCTTTTAGCTTATATAATCTTATATACACACCAAAAAAAGGCATTGTGTCCGAAGTATATCCATATCACCCCCTCCTTTCATCTTCTTTCCTGCGTTACAAGATTCCACGTATGTTTGGTTTTGTTGATTTACACCCATATGACCCATATCGTCTCTGCCGGAAAAAAATACCCTCCGATAATTAACCATGGCTTGCTGGAAAATCCACCATTTGGTTCGATTATTTTCCCAGCTAGAAACCTCCATTTGAGTAAATGTCGTCATGTTGTCCAGGATTTTCCATTTTTATAGTTAATTAATGCTGGTTACCTATTAAAAATGCTGATGTTCCAGTTCTCTATGTTCGCTTACCAGAGGCTATCCCAATTGCCATGGATTTTCCACCAGCTTCACCAGGAATCTCCCGGGCTTCCTGTGTGCAGCTTTATCCCACAGGCCAGCTTGGTTGTGCTTTATGATTGGAAATCAAAAAGGTGGATGTCATAAGGATTTTCATCAAGAATTGGACTTTCAAAATAGGATGATTGGGCCCCAATTGATTTTCATATGGTTGGAAAAGGTTGAAAGCAGAAATCAGTTTGCCCTTCATCTGATTCCTTGCACAAGCTAATATCCTATATGTAGGCCCTTTTGTGATCCTGAGATGATCAAGTCAGGAAACGGTGAGTGGCTAGTCTCTGATATCCCAAGTATGGGGGCTTACAACACCAATTTCATTTACTGACCTATGAGGTGTTTGGTTTAACCTTTACCGGGTACTTGAATAATTTCTTCCGAATACTTCAATGTTTTGCTTAGCAACTGGTGGATATTCAACAATAAAGTGGTGATGTAATTCAAGTGAACAGCCCCCAGTTAAGTGATGTAATTACATGTAATTACTATAACTTAGCTGAAAAATCTGATGTAATTTAACTCTTGCTGTACCTCTTGTTGTCTTCGCCACCACCATGGCGGTTGTGTACCCGTCCCAGGCACCTGGACATGTTTGTGGAGCACCACCGAGAGCTTGGTGCGCGCTGGGCTTTTCGGGTCCGAGCTGGGATTCTGAAAGGTTGAAACGACCACATTACAGCCCTGGCTGAAAAGACTTCATGTAAATGGTGATAAAATTATATATATACATATATTATGTGTGTACGTTGTATAATATTATAAGATTATATGTATATATATAGCCTGAATTACAGGAATTATTTCATCCCATTTATAAGTGTTGAGGGCCAGAACTGTACAGTACCCTTTTGAAGTACCTTAACAAATCAAGTTCCAAAAACTGATGAAAATTACTTTACTTCGTGTGATCCCCACCATGACATTTATACATTTTGTTACTGGCAAATCTTCTGGCATTCTATCTGACATATCTTCTGGCATCTTCTGGCATTCTATCTGGCATATCTTCTGGCATTCTACCTGGCATATCTTCTGGCATATGTTCTGGCATATCTTCTGGCATTCTATCTGACATCTTATCTGGCATTCTCTCTGGCATACCTTCTGGCATTCTATCTGGCATATCTTCTAACATTCTATCTGGCATATCTTCTGGCATTTTATCTGGCTAATCTTCTGGCATTCTCTCCGGCATACCTTCTGGCATTCTATCTGGCATATCTTCTAACATTTTATCTGGCATATCTTCTGGCATTCTATCTGGCATATCTCATGGCATTTTATCTGGCATATCTTCTGGTATTCAATCTGACATTCTATCTGGCATACCTTCTGGCATTCTATCTGGCCGTTGAGGTCCAGCGGTGCACACTGAGCTGGGCAGGTCCCAGGTTGAGGTCCAGCAGTGCACACTGAGCTGGGAAGGTCCCAGGTTGAGGTCCAGCGGTGCACACTCTGACGGGTTTTCCCAGGTTGAGGTCCAGCGGTGCACACTGAGCTGGGCAGGTCCCAGGTTGAGGTCCAGCGGTGCCCACTGAGCTGGGAAGGTCCCAGGTTGAGGTCCAGCGGTGCACACTGAGCTCGGACGTTGGCGAAGAGCTTGGCGAAGAGTTGGCAAGGCAACAGTGGACGTGGAAGTGGAGGCAGAGGTGGTGGAGGAGATGCTGGCGGAGGAGGAGCAGGAGGATAGCTAGCCGAGGAGGAGAACAACTCTGATAAAATCTAACAACCCTCACCTGGCAGGTGGGGAATAACATTTTTTAGGTGAAACAACATGAAACAGCCCAACCCGAGAGTTCTGTTCCCTCGCATTCACGTTTTGGTTTTTGATTGATGAACTCTGTTTCAGGTCACCCTGTTTGCTGATTCCCTCAAGGTTGTAGCACGGCTCATTTTGATCAGCAACCAATTTCAGTCACTTTGAGTGGGACCCCCTAGATATATAGTTTTGAGTAGATTGCCATGACTCCAATAACTATACGCTTTATGATACTTATAATATCTGCAAACTATGGTTGATATATAACTCCACTAGTTATTGTTCATAACTCCAATAACTATTGTTTACAAGTTCAACAACTATGGTTTATAGCTCCAATGACTGTGGTTTATGATACTATTATGATATAGTTACTGGTGTCTCTTGTTAAAGAACAAACATAATGTTTGGGGGGCCCCACATTGCAGCATGACTTCTCCTAGCCTCGGAATCAAAATGAGCACTGCCATGCCCTCACCTTGACCATCATTTTCCCACACATATACATATACATATATATATATATATATGTATATATGCATAGAAAAATATATGCATAGATAAATATACATATATATATAATTTACATTTCAATACAAATACAAGTACAAATACAATACGCTACACTACTATACCATACAATACAATACATTCTATACCTATAGACCCTCCGTTTGTACCCATCAAATCGGTGTTATACATGTTTTACTCCATGAGTTGTTTTGGATTTTCGAGTAGCTTTACCATTTTTTTGGAGGAAAATTTTGAGGGTCTTATGTGGGATGGTCTCGATATACAGATGAGTTTGCCATGGATGGGATGTTGGCCACTATCCCCAACAGCTCATCGATATCCTTTGGGTGTGGGGCCGGGAAGTCAATCTAAAAAACAAGAGATGCCAGATGTGGGATTGCTCACATTTCTACCTTAAAACTTAAGATTTGAAACCCTGCCATTTCTTCAAATCAGCTTGAAAACCCCCAATCAGCTCAGCTCCGAGGCAAGACAATTCTTTACAAGTTCCCCTTCAAGTCGTAGCCCCAGTGCTCCGAAAACTGGCTGTT